CATCTACATAGTACTGATATGAGTTGCTGCTTGTTGGAGTCTAGGGCCCAAACGAGCATCGTTCGAATCCCGATTGCGGCCCGCCTGACTTCCCTATAGGATCATCACCATTGCCCCCCCCGATGCCGGTACTAGATATGTGGTTACGACAAAGTACCCAGAATCCTACTGCGTAACGGTGGCCAGATGGCAAGAGTAGGCTCCACATCCGGTTGGTTGATGAAGAGACCTTGAACTCTGTGGTGTATCGGCCCTCCCCCTCGTGTTCAAGGCAAGTTCGGAGCTATGCGCACATGAGGTTTGTATCTTGCTCCGCGTCGTTCCACCTGGTTTAACTTTGTTGTAAAGTTCGGGCCTGTTGTGGACGAGGCACTCACTGAAGGCTTAAGGAGTAAGAAAGTACTCTACTCATAGCACCTTCCCTGTACCTGCTGGATCGGTAGCCCTTGGCTCTTGGGTATCTACCAGACACCCCTGTAAAGTCGAGATCTACCAGGATAACGTTAGGGATTTTGCTTGACAAGCACCGGAGTGGGCTCTGGGTAAAGGTGGTCACACTACGACTCGCCGAGTTCCTTAGCCGTCGGAGAGCTACATAGCCCTCTTGGGAAGGAGACAGATCTCTCCCGCTTAGGGTGCATTAAGTACATAGTACTTCTGTTAGCGACGTCGACCAGGAAGTCCAAACGGCTTCGAAGGTGGTTGACAGGACACCATTGGACTAACCCCGGTGGAGTCGGACAAGGATTCCATCGCTCTACCTATCTATTCCTGGCTTCCTGGCTCACAATGATCGTCGCAGGAAAATGTCCGACGGCCTCGCAGGACCCCCCTCCTCCCCACACACCCATGGTCCCATTTCCACTGTCCGTGTCATGACTGAGTAGTGAGTGCTGGTTTCTACCGCTCCAGGGCCAGTTTGTTCTCTTACGTGCTTCCTTTCCTTTTCCGCGCTTGTGCCAAGGTGCATCCATCCCATCCTGACCATAGGACTGTGGAGGGGACTTGTGAATATGCATTTTAGAATCAAGGTGTTCGTATGGTTCTGGAGAATTGTTACCCCTCCCGGGCTGTTCCCGGGTGGTTTGATATTTCATCTCAGTCTGCTGATTGGTGTCCAAGCAGCCTTATCCCTTCCTGAAGACAAAGACAAGCCAAGGCTTCGATCGCATGGTCTGTGCCTTTTTGGGGTAAACAGGGCCAGGGTAAGAAATACTAAGACTTCAGCATGGCCTAAACCTTTAGGCAGGAATGCCAAATACTTGGAAGGGAAACAGGAAGTATGGGTACGGCAACAGAAGGCCCCAAAGTTTCTCGGCGAATCCAGAGAGCCATCTAGTTTTGGGCTGGAAGGTAAGTACACACACAGAGCAGAACGACCGGACTTTGGATCATCGCTTCGTGGCAAAGCTGAAAATGTGGTCCTGTGGCTACCATGGAGAAAGCGCTTGATACTCGGCGCTGCCCAACCTGAGTGGATCTCCGGGTTGACTGGGGCCTAGAAGTCTAGAACTGCCGCTGGGTACGTCTGTTGGCACGGTGGCAGAGCTAGGAAGATTGGAGGAGTCTGTACGAACAGGGGAGCATTTCATTAGGTAGATACATCAGAATTCTGTGTCAAATAGGCTTCTACTTATGTTCTGCTCTAACACTATATGTAGCGAACGATACGGCTAAATCGGGAGAGATGGCTTTTCATTTTGGACAAGGCGCTGACATCTTCCTGGGTGTTAAGTCTAGTGTAGTCACTTGACATGATAACTGAGTACGGAGTAATAGATAGTCGTAGGGAGCTTTATCTCATGTTCAACCTTCCAAGTGGGTTTGTGGATGAACTCAGCTGTCACCTCCCCAAGCCAGACTAAAGAGGACCCATAATAACCCATGGAAGAATTTCCATCTTTTTCTTTTCCTCTTCCTAGAATTTCCTTTCCTTTTCCATTTTCTTCCTTGTTTTCTATTTCTCTCAACTTTCTGGGGGAGTTTATTCCATCCGGCCTCCCCTTGCCTCCTTATCCTATGCAATCCTTTTTTTTTGCTTTTGCTTTGAAGAGGGGAGGGGCTGTTGACTTGTTTTAAGCACTTTTTACTCGGATTCAGTAGCAGTAGGAGGAGTATTACTGTTCTTGCTCCTGTTCCCATTCAGTATCGGCCAGGCGACGGGGTAGACACGCAGCTGATCGCATCAGAAATGAATACGAACCTAGTCATTTTGCAAAACGGACAAGCTCCCACGTAGATACGAAATATACTAGGTACTCAATCCCACCAGGTTCCTACTCTAGTCTACAGCGAAATCCCAGCTACCCGGTTGATGCTAGTGGAGTTGACGTGATGAGCGAAACCGCGACTGAGCAGGAACTCCGTTCGGACTCGGGTTAATCTGCAGGAAACCATGGTTCGTCGCAGATTAGATGTAGGTCGGACGGTTATCTACTAGTAGGACGGAGGAGTATGGTCCGAACTACTCCGTAGAGTACTAGGAAACTAGTATCTACTTAGTAGACGCGGTCGCCATTCAGATTAAGTGTTGAGGTAAGTGGATGATGGATGACGATGATAAGGTATCGTCGTCGTCTGCCGAATTCTTGGCTGGCAGATCCGAATCAGACCATGCGGTCAGAAGGAGGGCCCATCAGGAGCGCTGGTGGCCCGGTAGAATAGGTAGAGATTGACTAACGGAGGAGTGAGATTGAGATTAATTAGGGTACTCCGTTGCAATCAGAATATATTTTTATGATGGCTCTCAGTCTCGTGGGCTGCTAAGTGAGGAAGGGGTCCGGGCAGCTGGGAAGAGAGGAGACTGTGAGGGAAGGAGAAACGACGGAGAGACCGAGAGAGGGACTGGGGCCCATTTTTTTGGATGGTAAATTAATTCCGCTCCACTTCGCACCAGATGAAACCAGAACCCAGGCCGGGTTGTGGGGAAGGTCAGGAAATTAACCACGCGTATGGTGATGACTGATCACTGAATGAGGAACCCTTCAACCCAGTCAGTACTAGATACTAATAGGTAATCAGCTGAAAAAAAGAAAGAAAGAAAGAAACTCAAAAAGGGAGTGGGATCGCGATCGAGACCATACATCTAGATATGAGGGACGAGGGGTTAATCTCCCAGTGCATTTTTTTCTGGGCCCTACCAAGAACCAGTTCATCGGTGAAGCTGCACCGAGGGTCTAGACTCGGATGAGTCCGTTCAGGTCGTCTCGGCTATGGTTGGTAGATTACCCAGTCTGGAATAGGTCGGTCCTCCGTACACAAAAGACAGTACTACCTACTATCTAGTATCTACTCCGTAGATCCTAGAATATTCGGTTGTAAATAGTCGAGGAGGATGGCGGCTGATGGGCGAGTACAATGGCCATGTTTAGTGTTTCAGAATCCCTCATCCCTGCCCGATTATTGACATACATGAGTAGAAGCAGAGGGACCACGGACAACGGACTCGTGTGACATGGATGGTTTGACCATCATCACTGGGCGCCTCCAACTGCCCCAACGGATACCCGTCATCATATGGGCTTCACCTCTTAATCTTGACTGACACCACCGTTGCCGCCAAGTGCCGCCTCCCGCTGCAATTTGGCTCGAAACCTCCCGTGTTCGAAACTGTAGATATCTACCCAGGCCGGACTGGCCGTGGACCTGTATCCAGTAGTAGTATCATGTATCTCCGGCATGGAGCAAGGGCGTACACAGTACCTGACTGGTCAAGCCTGGAATCATCATTTCCGCGCGGGTGGTTTTGGCGGGCGGCCAGAAGTAGAACTGCCAGGTGGTTTTGCGCTGAACCCCACCCGATCCTTTTTGCCGTCGAGGGTCAACGTCATAGCGGGAGGAGCCATCGTAAGGTGCAGCGGAAAAGGGGCACGCTACGGCACGCATCGTAATACATGGCCATATTACCAACAACACCCAGTGTAAATACTAAGGGCTACAAGAAGCTCACCCAGTCCAGAGCTTAGCCAACCATATCGCCGATCGATCTATTGGATGGGTGTGAAGAATTAGAAGCCTAGGTCCGGAGTTTGCGTAGCTGATGAGTGATGAACATGTGATATCGAAAATGTGGTCATGTGACCCGCATGCCTCTTAGGGAATCTCGAGCCTACAACCGAGATTATCACAAGAAACATGACTCCAAATTCCCGTTCTAAGTTATTTCACACCAATCCAAAGCCACAAATTCATGGCCGCCCATGATCTTCTGTGATCACTGCCTAGACAACTCGTCAAGATTCAGGATGAATCATGGAAGGAATTCTTTTCTAGTCGACGTGGTTCAACACGATTCAGCTCATTCAGATGCACTTTAGTGCCGGGCTCCAAGGACCTGCAGAATCTCTTTCAAAAGCTCTGTTCTTTGTACAAAACATGTTGGGTAACTATTCCGGGAAACCCAGCCCCGATAAAGGGACCTAAGAGCAAAGAATGCGAAGCTATAGGGGCCTTTGTTACTTTGTTCCAACAGACAGAGCCATGTCTAGATGGCATTATCAAATAAAGGCCCTTCAAAAGATCGGGGTCTTGATTCTCTCTTGATTTCTTTCAGACATACAACAACACGGTCATCCGACATCAACGGCCATTCAGTATCTTTCATCAGTCAATGCGCCAGATGTCTCAGCCTCATCAATCTACAAAGACATCCGAGAAGAAGGAAGAGGCTCAACACCGAGCCAAGCTGGGATGGCACTGTACTATGCATTGTTGCCATGCGTTTGCTTTCAGACATAAAGTCAGCAATGTTCTACTCTGCTCAAATTATGATTCAGCCGAATCGCTTTATCTAGCCAGTCTCGGGATTTGGCTCTATACGACCACGCAAGCGCCTAAAGTTAATGAAAACTAGCTACGAGGAACAATAAACATCGACAGAGTTAGACATGAGCCTATTAAGCTTACCCCATCCAAAAATCCAGGGACAGGCAGTATGTCGCCCAAGAATATTCATATGAGCTGAGCAAGGCTGACTTATTGCTGCCTGTCAGAACGCGAACCTTACCCCTGCCTGGGCACCTATATTCATAAATCATTGCACCCGAGAACCTAGAGGATTCCATAATCCGAAATTCTTATGCTACCGGAATTCGGCCATTCTCCTATTCTTATATTCGCCTCTTTTTCTAAACTGGCTGGAACGATACAACAGGACCCATGTGAACTGTGATTCAGAAAGTAAATGCTTGACATGTGGTTTACATGAGCTGGGTCTCGCCTACTGGAGCACAGACCCGATTGAAGATGCTCTTGTGCCGGTCTGGGAGAGGCTTCGAGAGACCTCCTGGAATTATGTCGATGAGCAGGACCAGCAAGATGTGCGCGAATTCATGGATAAACTACTGGAAGGGCTATTTAGCGAGATAGATGAAGAGGGGTAAGGGGCTTCTTTGGTATATGCACGTCAATTACATTGCTAACGCTACAGAAGTCGTCACGAATTGAATCAGATCTTCAAAATTGAAATCAGCAATGACCGTGTGTGTCTCAAGTGTTATCAAGCCATGCCCATGCAGCCAGACCAGAGGTTCTTCTTAGCTGCTGATTTCAAACCCGAAAGATCGCCTGGGCATGACAAGATTCACAAGTTATTGAATACACCATCACATTCGATGATTAATTGCGGGAAGTGCAAGAAGGAGACCAAGCATCTTCTTTGCGAGAAAATTACATATCTGCCAGAAATCTTTTTTGTCCAGGTCAATCGGGCGTTCATTTCCAACGGAGTCTTACAAAGAAATAACGATCCAGTCAAGCTCGCGGATCAATTGACAATTCCCCCTGAAATGTTGGATGGCATGGTGAACTCCGCAGGAGGGAATCACTATGAACTTTATGGGATAATCTTCCACAGGAGCTGCGTTTCATACCAAGGCCATTACACATGTGCCGTTAAGCGTCCCAAGGGTGACTGGGCATGGGTTGATGATGACAAAAACAGGTGGGTGGGCCTGAAAACAGTGCATCAGGTTTTGCATGATGAGAGAGAGGACTGGCGTACATCTGTGTATATATTAGCATATCGCCGCCTAGCCCTCGACAGGCCATTGGAGCTTGGCCGTCAACCAGTGGCCAACGACGATGAAACCGGAAAATCAGGGCCTTGTCACACCCCAACTGGAGACTCTCCCAGGGGCTCTCTTTCAAATCTTGACAAAGACTCGGCGAAACGTTCATCTCCTGATGATGTACGCCTCGATCAAACCATTCGACTTACGGGGAGGAAATTGAAATGGACAGTAGAAGAACCGGTGGTCATCCCTGAGGGATGTGGGCCTCTCATACAAATTAGGCGGGGGCGGAGAGTCCAATATGCCGAGCTCAGGCTGACACTGACCTGTGAAGCCACAGACGAAATCCTCACCGGAAAAGGACGCATTTCCCTCAAGCCAAATACCACTAGGAAAATCGAGAGAACGCCATCACCAGCCGCAGTCATGGACACAAGAGATATCGGAACTCAGACGTCGCCGGGTACAGGTCTCAAGAAAGCAGGGAAGCCTCGGGGGATTACAAAAGATAAGGCTGCCTCAAGGTAACCAACGAGCACTGGTTGTAGGGCGCAGTCTCATTGAGCCATTAGTGTTACGTGCCGGGCCCTTTGAGGTTTTGCGGGTGGATCATGTATTTTCTATTGTACTTGTTGACGTTCAGGCGTGAAGGGGAATTTGCTGTAATCCTGTCGGTTTCGTTGCTCTTGGATAGATAAATGGATGAGTATAAGTGCATTGTTTGTTGATATGACGTTGGAATTCAATAGTCAATTGATTGACTCGCGGTCTTCCGTGCGGCGCCCTCCCCCCCCATCTTCTATCTACCTCCTTCCTTCAATCCAAAACCCCGTCCCTTATGACCTGATGGCCCATCCATATCAGAGTCACTCTCAGGCTCAGCCCAGCCTTTCAATCCCACGATTCATCGATCTTTTAATTTCTCGTCTTTCAGCCTACAACGCCACCTCAGTAGACAATAACCATGACCATGACCACCGATCCATCTCACGGCATCAACCATGCCGCACCCCCCTGTCTACTCTGCCCGCTTCCCAAATCGCAGAAGTCAAAGCAACAATGTTAACTCTTCATTGTCTCTTCCCTAACGAACTCCTCCTCGCCCTGGACATCCTGGACCGAGGTCTCGTGAAACGCTTTGTGCGCAATGACAACACCACCACAATCACCACCACATCACCAACACAGACAGAGGATACTGATATGTTCTACGTCCTCTCAACATCCACCCTCCCCCATTCTACAGACCATTACCTCCTCTCCAAGTCCAGGACCAGATTGAATCCTCAATCTTTAACTCATATGGATATGAACAGCCCCTCAAAAGGCTACGAAGTGCGCCTACACGCATGGAACTGCACCTGCCCGACTTTCACGCTATCTGCGTTCCGAGATCTCGGTCCCGAGGTACCACCAGCAAATTCTGCTGCTGATGCTGCTGATGTTGAGGGGGCGAGGAATCTAATTTTCCCTGACCTAGACGAACCATCCTCGGATGCCGTTCCCACTCACTTCTCGTTTGGCGGGACCTTGACACGGGGATCGACTAAGTCCTCTCCGCCGGTCTGTAAACATCTGCTTGCTTGTTTGTTGGCTGTACGTTGTTTCGGGCTGGTTGGGCTGGGAGAGGAAGGTGTTGTTGAGGTTCGAGTTGAGGAAGGGGAATTGGCGGGTTGGGGGGCTGGGTGGGGGGGATGATATGGGATGTGATGAAGTATATACGTGATGCGGTGGCTTTGATACAGCTGTGGGACGTGTATCGAGGATCAAGATTGAAGGAGATTAATGCTGTCAAAACTGATTGGTTTCAGCTGGACTCGATCAAGCATGGCACGTGGGCTATATCTGGAGAAGGTATCCGTAAGACTATGGCATGACATACACAATGTCAAGTGGTACGATTGTGCTGGCATTATGGGCTGCATTGTTCCTTTAGACAGACTGGACAGGGAACATGTTCCAATTGGGGAGTCGGGCATGTGAGCTATTACATTCTCTTAACGCCATCGTAGGCCCTGTTTGGGGACTGCTATTTGATACAGCAGATATACAACCCCACAAGGACGCCTCCTTAATATCTAATATATAGTTGCCCTGGGAGTCATCGGCCGCGTAGAGATTACCGTACTATACATTCGATATAGAGACTGAATTGTTCTAGAATGTTCGTATCGCATTGAGTCCCTGATCCTCTAGTCACCCCGCTGACCCTTTTTCTTGGACTTCTCCTTGTCTTGCTCCTCCTTCTGCTCCCCGTTGACCGCGCCACTGGCCTTCTTCGCGGCCTCCTTCTCGGTCTTGGCCGCGTTGGCCTCCTGTTCCCTCTTCAACTCATTCTCTTCTTGTTGCTGTCGGTTCTGGATCTTGTTCTCGATCAAGTCATGGAAGGCGGTGATAGCACGGATCAAGCTGCTCAAGTAGATCGCCATTAATTGATCGTTGGTCTTGATGCTCATGGCCCGCGCGAGCTCGCTGTTCTCCGTCGGCTGTTCCGACGTGCCACTAATGCGCGGTGTCGCGGCGGGTGTGGAAAGGTTGGGAAGAAGGTTGAAGACGTCCTGGAGATTGCCTAAAATGGCGTGGTTGACTGGTAATTCGTGGTCAAGGACCTTCTGCAGGTACTGGCCGATATCCCGCAAACGCAGATGCAGGCCCTGCAGCGACTGTAGCTGCGATGTTATGCGAGTGGACAGGGTTCCGACAGCGACGTCCCTGATGTCGCGGAGAAGGTGTTCCACTCCAATTTCCTCTGCTTCCTCAGCTTCAATTATGGACGGGGTGTGGACGAATGTCTTTGATGTTGTGGTGCCATCCTGTTTCCAAATCGTATTGATTAGCGCATAAGGTCCCAATGCAAGTGCCGGAGGGACAGCGCCCATAGATACTCACATCCTTGATCTCATCCACAGCAAAGTAGGCATCTGTAGGAACGCCAACCTCCTTTGGTTGGACGTCCACGATCACCAGCAAAGGGTTAGGTGTGTATCGCTTGAAAAGCTCGTTGATTTCCAGGTCTGAGGCCCGCAGCTTTGGGCCCGAGTGATACCATCCGACCAGCTTCTCACGAGCATTGATCTTCTTGAACATGTCTCTCATCGACTCCACGAAGTTGTGATCTAGGAACCAGACGGAGGGATCCTTTTCATCCTCCTCAAAAGGTACTGGAAGCAAGCCTGTCAGTACGTGGACAACCTATAGAAACCCCAGCCCGATGAAACGAGATAGAGCCGGCAATGACGCACCCGCAAAGCTGTTTGACACCCGAACATTCTGGCCCGAGTTCTCACCCAGCAGTACACCAACCACACGTTTCCGGGTGCCCTTGGCCGAGCGGCCGTAGTGATCTGCGACGGAGAGAAGAACTAAGGGAGCGACCGTGACGGTCCGCTGAACGAGGGAGAGGGTGTCCGCCGTGGTGGCAGGCATGGCGGAGACAGAAGGCACACGGGACGAGGTGTCACCAGAGGAGATAGGGCGGGTAGGAGGGGATAGTCCGGATGTGAGAGAAACGTGAGGGGATTTGTTGTAGGATCAGCAAGGGGACTGGGAGGGGGATGGAGATGAGAATGAAGGGAAGACGTGATGACGATGAAGAGGGAAGCTGTTGTTGGTTAGTCCGCCGGGAGCCTCTGGAGCCTCTGGAGCTCCGTGCTTGAGCCACCGTGGGTGTGGCTGGAGAGAACAGGAGGCTAGGAGCACCCGCCACACTGTAATTTTGATGCCTCAGGCACATACATCGGGAAACACGTGTTCCGGGGCTAGTGCCGAGTCGAACACCAGGCAAGTGGATGTTGGGTCGAGGAGGGATGTCATTCATGATTGGGATGGGGATAGGGATAGCCACCGGGTCAATGGACTGCTCCGACTACCTACTATGCATGTACGATATCGACCCTACGACATACGAGGGTTGCCGTTCGAGGCGAATTTCCCAGAATCTCAGGCGCGCCAGAACCTCGGGTGCGCGACTCCACTCTCTCCGGTCGGCCTCTTTTCTCCCCCAACATGCAGTTTCTCCGTCCCCTTCCCTTTCCCCGGTCTGGCTGATATCTCTTCATTCCTGCCACTTCTCTCCTCTCTTCCCTCTCCGTACCCCTCCTGATCCCTTACCGGACAGTTCCTTGAAGCGTTTTCCCTTTGCTCCCCACCCCTCATATCGCAATGGCTCCCATCACGGAAGAGGTCGTCAACGGCCTGAAGGATACTATCGGAAAGCTTGAGGCTCGCGTTGAGGAGTTGGAAGGCCGCCTCACCAACCAGGTCAAGCCCAAGTCGGTTGCGGAGCAGATGCGCATCATTCTTATGGGACCTCCCGGTGCCGGTATGCCCTCCATTTCCACGCTCTGGCCCTGTCCTGGAGCCGACTCGCCTTCCCTGCCTTTCCGTCCTGCGGAATTCTGACCGATCTTCCAAACTAGGCAAGGGTACTCAGGCCCCCCGGCTCAAGGAGAAGTACTGTGTCTGCCACTTGGTAAGTAATCCCATTGGATCTATTCCATTGAGTACGTTTGAACAGGACTAATGTCGGCCTTCCATCTGTACAGGCCACCGGTGACATGCTGCGTTCCCAGGTCGCCAAGAAGACCGCGTTGGGCAAGGAGGCCAAGAAGATCATGGACCAGGGTGGCTTGGTCAGTGACGAGATCATGGTCAACATGATCCAGAGCGAGCTCGAGAACAACACCGAGTGCAAGAACGGGTTCGTATTCGTCCCTTATGCGATTCTGCTTACGTGAAACTGTTGGTTGACGGCCTTGCGCTTCCAGATTCATCCTTGATGGATTCCCCCGTACTGTTGCTCAGGCCGAGCGTCTGGATGATATGCTTTCCATCCGCCAGCAGAAGCTTCAGCATGCCGTTGAGCTTCAGATCGACGATGCCTTGTTGGTTGCCCGGATCACCGGACGTCTGGTCCACCCGGCTTCCGGACGCTCGTACCACAAGATCTTCAACCCCCCCAAGGAGGAGATGAAGGACGATGTTACAGGCGAGCCTCTGATCCAGCGCTCCGACGACAACGCCGATACCCTGAAGAAGCGTCTCGGCACCTACCACGCCCAGACCGCCCCCGTTGTGGACTACTACAAGAAGACCGGTATCTGGCGCGGTATTGACGCCAGTCAGGAACCCGGCCAGGTCTGGAAGAGCCTGCTCGGTGTCTTCCGCCAGTAGATTCAGCAATTGGGGGAAAGCCCATTGCTAGGCCGGAGTGATGTACTTAAATGATACCCATCGTTCCGGCCCCTGTGTCTTTGCCGGAGTGGAGAGAGCAGGGTTTTTGATATGATGTCCAAGTCTTGTATAGACTTTGTTGCCCGCACGGGCCGGTGAAGAAAGGGAGAAAAGTCCTGCATTGTTCGGGAATGGAACTTGTCTTTCTCATGTCCGTATATAGACAGACGCCCTCCGGCGGAGAGATATCTGTTTTTTCTTTATGTATAGTAGTAATCTTTCGGAATGCGAACAACTTCCGGCTAGCCCCTGCTATACCGCAAGTCTTGACCGCCCAGTCCGACATGCATACCGAGTTTGTCGTCCGTAGAGCCCAATCAGTTACGTGTATTGAGTATCAATATCAGCAACGCATAATGCCGTAACTGTTACTGCATAGCGGCAGTGGATCTACAGCTCCAGAGGGTACGCCGTGGATTCAATCTTCTCCGGATATGTCAATCCGCCCTGCCGCCGGACCTCATCCATCACCTCCATGATGACGATACTCTCCTCCCACGGCATAGTCTCACTTTCCAGCTTCCCATCGCGCAAGCAACGCGCGACCTCGTCCGCCTCCCAGAACATGCCCCTGCCATCTCCAGGGAACGGACACTCGACCTCCTTCGACTCGCCCTCTCCCTTCTTGGGAATGATCCGGTACCGTTCGGGTTGGAAAGCCGGCCCATCCACCTGAATCTCACCCTTGGTGCCCTGGATACGGATTGCCGGACGGGCAGAGTTAGTCTCATCAGGGTCCGTTGCGACGCGAAGATGTGTCATAGCCACGGCTTGCGACTTGCCCAGATGAGGCAGGTTGGAGGGCGTGGTCGTCGGGAAACTCAGAAGGATGGTGGTGGCTTCATCGGCGCCGGTCAGATGATAGAGCGTCATGTGGGCCGAGACGGCCGAAGGAGGTTTACGCTGTTCCCGGGGCAGGGTGTGATACAAGGTCTGGAAGACCCAAGTCAAAGAGTAAATTCCCACTGTACCGATTCTGGTTAGCCATGCGCACCCATTAATTCCCCCCGGAAAAGGGCATGCTTACAGTCCAACAAACATCCACCAGCCAGGTCCTTGTTGACCATGCGATGTTCTGTTCCCCAAGTCTCCTCGACGGGATCTCCGAAGCTATTGTCGGAAATGACACGCAGCACCTCGCCGATAGCGCCCTGCTTAATCAAGTCTCTGATCTGGATGCTCAAGGGGAAGTAGCGAGTCCAGATGGCCTCCATGAGGAATAGGTTCTTCTGCTTCGCGGTATCGCATAGGATTTTGGCTTGGGCTGCGTTGACGGTGAAGGCCTTCTCACAGAGGACATTTTTCCCGGCCTCGAGGGTGAGCATGACGTTCTGGAAGTGGTGGGAGTGCGGGGTTGCGACGTAGACAACGTCCACGTTGGCGTCGGCCACGAGATCGTGGTAGGAGCCATAGGCAGCGCAGGGAGCTGGAATTCCTGTGTCTGAGATGAACTTTTCTGCACGCGCTGAAGACGACGAGGATGCTACAGCGACAACGGTGTGAGAGACGTCGAATACATCGCGAATGGCGGGGTCCCTAAGAAGGTCTCGCACGAAGGCTGATTGGTTACGTAGGATGTCAGACAGAGTTCGGAGATGTAGTGATGATCTGCGAGACTTACAATCGGCAATCCCTCCCGTAGCTGTATAAGTACAATGCCGTGCCTGTTAGCCTGGTATTTATGGTGCCTGTCGGTGGTCACACTGGGCTGGGTGCGGGGAAGTCCGAGATCTTACCCATGATACCCCACCGGACATTGTGGGGAGCCATTTTAAGAACTGGACTGAGATGGAAGGCGAGAAGTGATCGGGTGAATAGACAGACGTGGAGCAGCGAGGGAGATGTTGAAGAAGGGATTGTCTTATACTGGTTGGAGGGGAGAGAAGGCCGCTTGCCCACGCGGAGTTGTGCCGAGCGGGGCATCGCCCTTTGCCGACGTCATTCGCCTATTTACAGAAGTGATACGGAACGCGCAAAGAAAAAAGCGCCCAATCATATCCAGAATGGACCTGTCTGGACATGGTGGGTTCGTCTGATTCTAATGGAATACTATATACAAGCAGCGAGCCCGGGAGGGTTGTATGATATGTTCTGTGATCCATCGCCATCAATTGCCCCGGAACGCTCTGTGGAAGGAAATCACTTTCCCGCCCAATGCAAGCCCAGCCGTCAGCCGAATGCACAATATGCATCTTCGCTCAAAAGCAGAGAAGAAGAAGAAGAAGAAGAAGAAGAAGAAGAAGAAGGGAAAGAAGAGAACTGCATGTACACATCCCATCACACAGGCTCGGTTTTGATCCGCACATGTTGGCCGGGAGACTCCGTTCCCTACAGTGGTGGTTAGTTAAAAGAAACGGAGCCTGACAACTTTACGAGCCATCACTGACCTCTGCCTTGCGTTTGCCTAATACTGAGTCAGGAGTTCCAGTGCGTCCCGACGGCGTCCCCCGACTGGCTGGAGGAGGCCCGTCCTTGGTGACTTCGGCATAGCAACTCGCATGGTACACGCGACTCCCAACCTTGACCGCATCCTGCCATATCCAGTCTTGCACATCCTCTGACCACGTCGACTCGAATTTCTCCTGACAGATGGGACAGGGGGTATTACGCAACGTCGCATCGTTCGGGGCGTGAATATATTGCTTGGGGGGCCCCTTCTTGGCCGCAGTGCTGTCGTTTCCAGCAACGCCCTCACCAGACACCTCCGTTTCCGCGAGGTCCTGTTCGTCTCCCGCCTCTCGCGATTTGATCCAATCCTAAATAAAATCAGTCATACAACAGGAATAACCAAAGAATATAGCGTCTCACTCACCCGTTCATCAACGTACCAGCTACGATTCTGGGCTCGCCTGGCTGCCTCAGACATGCGCTGGTTGGTTCGGAAGTGCCAATCCAAGTGGCGTGCCTTCTTCTCTTTTCCGTCATCTGTGGCGAAGAACCGCTGGCCGCAGGTTCCACAACGATTTGACCGCGTCTCGTAGAGGCTGGAAATCAACATCTGGCGAGGGCTGATGTTCCATTATGTCAGCAAAGTCGGAGACAATCTATAAGAGGCACATGACTCACATTTTGATGGACGCTGTATTCATTTGAACACTGATTTGAAAATCGGATGTACTTTGTGTCTGTGGCGTCGCCACGGGGGGCGTGACTCGCACCTGACCAGGCACAATCAATGGGAAAGCGGGTGGGACGTTCGGCGGAGCAGCAGTGAACGGGGCCGGAGGCGCAGAGGCCGGAGGCAAAAGGCCCTGTGCTCTAAGAGCTGCAATGAGGGGGTTCTCTGGTGCAGCGCCGATAGATGGCTGGGGTACGCTAGGATTAGTGGGTATCTGCGGTAAGATATTGTGAATTTGAGGCGGCGGAGTGGGCTGTTGGCGGGCAGCCGTGGCTTTGATGAGCCCGGCAAGCGTACCCGGGTTGAGGAGCTGCTGTAGGGGTTGAGAGAGTGTCTGGGTTGGAGGAGTAACCATAGGAGGCGTCGATATGGCCGGAACATTTGGAGGAATGGTCTGAGGGGCCGCTACGACGGGCTTTGGTGCGAGTGCCGAGACCTGGCCGCGGACAAGCTTCAGCTGTTCTTGGGTAAGTTCTTGCCGTTGCAAGATGCCTTGGAGATCCAGAAGGGCCTTCAGCCGTTGCTGTACTGAAGGTTCCAGTGGGTTGTTGGCAAAATCACTTCTAGCAGTGGTAATCAAAGCCTCGATGTCCCGGTTGAGGGCTGAAAGATCAACCTCCGAGCGCTGCTGAGCTTGCGGGGTTGGGGTTGCGCGCGCAGGGTATGGGTCACCCTGCCAATTCATGTTAGACATGTGCCATAGCATAGGTCTGTGATATGAGCTGGTACTTACAGAGGGTGGGTAGCCATGACCTGCCCCATTGCGCTGGTAATGCCCGGGCAAAGCCTGCGCGGACGGATGCCGGCTCGCGCTCTGCGGTGGTGTAGGACTGTTAGTCCAGGCTGGGGGAGTCCCAACTCGACCGCGAGTGAGGATATCTTGTTGAGTTCGGGCTTGCTGTTGCTGGAGAGCGGCAGTCCTTGCTTTGATTAAAGCACTCTCGATACTGCGAGTGACCTCCGGGGGGAAGACGGGCCTGGTGTCCAAAGACCCTGGCACAGGCTCCTTCCATGTCTTGAGCATCTCATCAAGCTTCCTGCGCGTTTGCGAATCGACCAGCGTGTAGGCGTTCATGAAGGTCTGATACAGATTGCGACCCAGGAAAAGAGTGTAGGGCGTGCCTACGTTCTTGACGATAGAGTCGACTACATACAAGGCGGGCAACTTCTGAGCCGGCGGTGTCTACAGAGCAGATTAGAACTTGTTCATCCCAAAAGAGACTACAGACGGCCGTGCGCCTCGCCAGGTCCAACAAGTGCAAAGCGGTATTCTGAGAGCATGTCACCTACTGTTCGAATGTGGTTCTCCAACACGCGGGAGATGGCCATTGCATGTTCGGTGTTCTCCTTGGCTATGACGGTCAGATTGCTGATCTGAAATCTGTCATTGGTTGTTAGATCTTCCAAGGAATTCTTGTAGTCCTCAGCAACTTCGTCGGAGGCCAGCCCGGATGACATGGTGGGTAAAGATACACAGGCGGATGAGGCCAATGAAGGGGAGCAGGGCAAGTGAGAATATGAAAAAGGGTATAGACGAAAGAAATGGACAATAATTGAGTGCTAAAGAGGGCGTAACACTCGGGGATATTTAGGGTCCTGCGTCTTTTTCTTTTTGTTTTTTTTTTTTGCTTTCCTTGCTCCTCTGCTTCTTTTCTTTCTGTTTTCCCTTGTCCTTTTGTTTTTTTGTCTCTTTTTTTTTTTCTTTCTTCTCTTGGGCTTCGTTGCCTTATGGGATTGTTTCTTTTTTTTCTTCTTTGTCCTCTTTAAAAACCGTATATAAATCCTATTTTCTCCTCCTTTGTTTCTCTCCACGAACCACGGTCTCCTGAAAGTGCAAGAGATGGAAAGAGCTGTCCGAACTTGTCAAATGCTTGCTAGCTATCTTGGTCAGACTTGAGACAACAACAGGAGGCCGCAAGAGCAAATCCTCCACCCGAACCACAAGTCAACAAAGAACCCGCGCTACAACTCTCCGTCAACCCAGTGTCAATCTACCTCATACGATCACCCGTGCCGATTGACCCGTACAGTAGACAGTAACTAGTAGAACCAAATCGGGACGAAGGAGAGGGGAGTTGATGGGAGGGGTCTCGAGCGAAGCAGGTGACGACCCTCAGGAGTTACACCACCTTGGGAAACTGGACGTGAAGAGGGGAAGGGCGATATGGACAGCGGCCGAATGCGGAGGACAAAGCTATACAGAACAGAAGGGATTTGAGAGATCGGCAGAGTGGGCGGGGAGCAGAGGCTGGGCTGGAGAAGAAGACCGCAGGGAAAGGACGAGAGTGAAAGGAAAGGAGGCGAACAAGGATGAGGCAGAATAATGCGGAAGGTGCCCTCACGACGCCCGAAGAATAGAAAGCGTCAGCGCCGCGGCGTGACCGGCTGACTCAGCGAGCGATTTAGGCTTGGTCTCCTTGTCACATGCTAGCCCTGATCGGGTAATCCGGTCCAGCGCAGTCAGTTAGTCAAGTAGTATGACGCAGTCACGCTACGTTCCCCAACTACTATCTTCAACACACACACACACACACACACACACACACCTTTCGCAACCTTTTCAAATTGGACCAGAATATCTGTAGCTGGGATCATACTGAGTCTATCTCATACCCTGTGCCGCTTTTCCACAATGAAGTTGTTGTCTGCTACCGTCTTGGGATTGCTCCCGTTGGCCCTGGCCGAATCGATTCTGGTCACTTTCCCTTCAGGAACGCCCGACTCGGTAGTGGACGGGGCAAAGAAGTCGATCGTGGATGCTGTATGTGGCCGAGTGCTTTGACAGCCTGCACTCCGACCTTGACTGACTGAGTGTCTTCTTATAGGGTGGCCAGATCACCCATGAATACAGTATGGATTACCTACCTAGGAACCTCCCTTTTATCATTTCAGCCTTGGTATTCCCTGTGCTAACATCCTACTCGTTACAGCCTTGCTCAAGTAATTTTCCCCTTTTGCTAGTAATTCTCGAGTTGCTTGCTCTGACATGTTCCCAGGGGGTTCTCTGCCAACGCTCCGGAAAAGGCCATCCAGCAGATGTCGACGGAATCTGCCGCGTACAAACCAAATATTGAGAAAGACCTGACTGTTTCTATTCAGTAATGGGATGATAGGTCTTCTGAAAGAAGGGCGCTCGCCCTTCTCTCCTGTATTTTTCATGGCTATTTCCCCGCTGGTCTCGGGGCTTGACTGTTGGTCGGTGATGAATGAAAAACACTAGGTATATTGTAATTCAGGACTGCTATGTATGCTTGACTACTTTTGGGGGGGAAGGAGGGTATGCGCCTTGTATTTGTCCAAGATGGGCTACGTTCTGGACTGTCTCTTTTGAGTGCCATATGAACCTGCGATTACTTTTTATTTCCGCGATTGAGACATTATTATATGTGCGCCTGTTCATATCCCCTTTAAATTCTCAAATTAAATGGCTGTTGTTTGGTATGGGTTGAAGTATGAAGCAACGGAGCGAGTGGTGGTCCCTGAGCCCCCGAGCGGGCCTTTGGTATTTATAGCTCGTCGATGCGCGTAGCGTGGATCCCGCCTCCAACGCCCCGGAGGCGCTCAAAAAAAGGATCTCATCAAGGCCCAGTTCTTCCTCCGCCGTCCAGTTTCAATTTCACCGTGCTGAGGGGTCGCCAATTTGCCCCTCCTGGCCGCGATCCGAATCCCCCTTGCGCCCACTCTCAACCGTTCCTGCAATTCGCAACCGCCGTGTCCCCCGCCCAGTCGACTGCCCCCGACTTCAGTCAGCCGCCGACCATGGCTGCGGAGCATACTGTCACCCAGGCCTTATTGGAATGGATAAACAGTTTCGCCCTGGGCAAGACCATCCGGACGACCGAGGAACTATCAGATGGGACTATCATCTGGGAGATCTTGCAAGATATCGACCCGCAGTATTTCCTCGATGAGATCCCCCAGCGCGCCCCGTCCGATCACTGGCTATCCAAATGGCAGAATTTGAAACATATCCACAAACTGCTCGTCAATTACATCCGCCAACAGCCCGATGGCATGCCCTCGGGTCTTGACCCGAATCCCAACCTTGAATTGGTCGCTGAGAAGAACTCTGTCAAGGAGGCTAATAAACTCCTCAAGTTACTTCTGATCGCGGCCATCCGGTCCCCCAACGCGCAGACCTATGTCGAAACCCTTCAAAGCCTAAGCACACCGACACAGGAAAACCTCAAGAACATATTCGAGGAAGCTCAGAATGGACAGCATGAGGCCATCGACGGTGAGGACGACATCAAGGAGGATCGGGAGCTGCCCGTTGACTTAGAGCTCCAGTTTGAGGAGCGGGTAGGGAAGGTGCTGGCGGAAAATAATCGCATGGCGCGCGAGAAGAAGGATATGCAGAAGCAAATCGACGATATGCACGACCGCTTGGCGCGCCTTCAGGAAAACAATGATACCCTACAAAGCCGTCTTGCATCGACGGAGGACCGACTAGTTAACCTGAGATCCGGAAAGGGCGATCTGGGACTCAATGCAAAGGCTCTCGAGTCCAAGTCCCGCCAGCAGGAAGACATCATCGCGACGCAGGAAGCAAGGTTGGCCACGGCGCAGGATGAGATCGACAGCCTGCGGATGACAGTGGAATCTTTGCGTGTAAAGAACCAGCGCTTTCAGAAGTTACAGGACGACTATGATGAGCTTAAGACCGAGCGAGACCAGCTCGCTCGTAAGGCAAACGCAGCTGAAAAGTATCGCCAGAAGCTGCAGGCTAGCCAGGATTTCGAGAAAGAGAATCAGTCACTCAGGAACCAGATTAAAGACTTCCAACAACAATTGAAGGAGGCGGATTCGCAGCAGAAATGGAACTCCGAGCGGGAGGTGGAGCTTGAAGAATACCGCAGAGTCTTGCCGCGCATTGAGCAGGAGTGCAGTGAAATCCAAAACCTGAAGAAACAACTCGAATTCAACAATCATGCCCTTACGGAGCGTCTCAGTAATGCCGACGAGCAGCGTGAGCGTGATGATGCCCTGATAAGCGAGCTTCGGGAGCGTGTCCGTGAACTAGAAGGGTCACCCGGAAGCCCATCCCTCACGCCGGGTACCGAAACTCCCAAGCTGGAGGGAACTCTGCAGAAAGATTTTGAGGCGATTGGTGTGAAGGAATCTCAACTGTTGGAAATCCCCATTTTGTCGCCTTCAAGACTTAAGCTAATGCGCCACAGGAAATCTGAGAACGAGGAGCTCAAGAAAGAAGTTGAATCCCTGAAGGGCCCATCCGTATGTTCGCTTCTTATTACAATGGTTACACTGACGCAGCCGCTGATAAGGTGTTGCAGATAGGCTCTCCATTGGAAGGCTTCTCCGAAGCTTTTAGTGAAACGCTGCAACAGGCTCGCGCAAACTCTTCCCAAAGGTACTTCCGCCGGCATCTGTCTAGTCCCAGTGCTAATAAAGCTTCAGTGATGAGTACTGGAAGTTGTACGATCAGTACACTTCAGCGCTCAAGAAGCTGGCCGAGGCCCAGGAAGCTCTCGATGTCTCCAAGAGATCGCTGAATGATGCCTTGGCTGAGGGTAAGTAGCTACCGCTGGATGAATCGCAGGTACAGACTTAAACCGCTCACCCGATTACAGTTGAACTCTCCAACAAAGAGAATGTCGACCTAATCACCGAGATTAAAACGAACAACTCATCGGAATTGACCAAGGCCCGTGAAGGAGAGGACGATGCTATGCGCAGAGTCTATAGTCTCCAGGCCGAGCTTGATTCAACCCAAGCTCTAGTCCAAGTAACATGCGCCGAACGGGACGATCTCCGGAACCTGCTTGAGAAGAAGCAAGCAGAGTTCCGAGCAGAGGACCAGGAAGCTGCAGAGGAAATGAAGAAGCTACTTGCTGAACTCACTGCACAGGAGAATGGGGACGATCCGGAAACCGCTCAAAAATCGGCCGTAGAACTCACGAGACAAGTCGCCGTGCAGATCGAAAAGAACCTGGAAAGACTGGCGAAGCGCGCAGAGGTCAGTTACAAGAAACCCCATCGGCTCGTAGTTTGTGTTGGCACGAGCCAGATAAGGCCCAACCGCTTTGGTAGCTTCGGTGGCGAGAGGAAACGGCTCGATCTTCTTGCAGATCGGCCATTTGGCGATTCGACCCAGATGCTTGCAGCGAAGGCTCCCAGCCTATCGCGTCTGGGCCGTTTTATTGCCAAACGGTTCAGGCGTTGAGGCTTGGCTGTGACCCCTTTGACACCTGAGCCCATCTTTACAGCCCATCGAAACTAACACCAATCATCGTGCAGTACATCCATCAACAAAACGAGCATATCAAGTTCCTCCAAGAACGGTTAAGGCAGCTTGAAGAAGATACGGATGAGGGAATCAGCAAGGAGCGCGAAGTAAGCCGGCCCTTTCTATAGGCCTCTGGACCCCTGGCTAATATCCTCGAACCTGCACAGCTCGAACTCCAGAAGATAATCGATGCGCAAGCGCGGGAACTTACCCTAATGAGTTCCTCCTGGTACGAACTCCAGAACCGATTACAGAACAACAACATTGGCATGTCCAGGTATCGCAATGGGTTACTGGCCGATGCCCAGAAGGGCTGGCTTGCCAGGCAGAGAAGCGTGGTCGCTGGTCGATAAAGCTGCCCGGACTATCTTTGAATGTGGGGATATGATTACGTTTATTTCTTCGTACATGTGTTTATACTCCCTTTTGTTTCCCTCTCCTTCCTTCCCCGTTTCCCTTTGCATCTTTCATCGTTATCAAGACTGTTCTTGCTGTTGTTATTATACCTTTCTACATACATACTTTTCGTCTACCGCGCTATACCAGATTGTTGCGGCTAGATTACCATGGTTTGTTGGAACTTGATCAGCATTATAGGCATATTGGCATACGCACCTTGAAAGCACCGTGGCACCGTGATGAACATTGCTTTCTATTTTGAAAGTCTTTCCCTTCTTTTTCTACATGCGGTTCTGCTTTTTACGTCACGTAGCCATAGATGCAGCTCATAATATACATACAGGTTATACATCGTCCATAGAGAAATTATCAGACGTTTTAGGGGATATTTTGCCGACAAATCCAGTCAGCTGCTTTACACCCATTGTCTGGGGTGTCTCAGAACATCCATGATTTCCTTCTCGCTCTCCTTGCCCTCGCCGAGAAGCGCGTCATCCCCGCTCTCAGGATCCTCCGTCCGGGTTCCCGATACCGGATCCATGTAGGCCCAGCTTGCGGTGCGGGGAAGACTCATCAGAATACTTTCGATGCGGGCATTCGGAGTGCGGAGACCGAAGCTGGTGCCGCGGTCATATACCAAGTTGAACTCGACGTAGCGGCCCCGTCGAAGCTGTTGCCATTCCTTTTGCTCTGGCGTGTAGAGCATGTCCTTCCGGCGCTCAATGATGGGGACGTAGGAGGGGAGGAAGGAGGCGAGACCGTCGGACACGAAGGAGAAAAGGGTCTCCTGCGGATTTTGCGAGGAGCTCGAGGATGTCTGTAAGAAACTGGCATCGAGATCGTCGAAGAAGATACCTCCGACGCCGCGGCACTCCCGGCGATGGGGGATATAGAAATACTTGTCACACCATGCCTTGAACTTCGGGTAGTATGTGGCGTCGTGCCGGTCACAGGCGTCTTTCATCGTCTGGTGGAAGTGTCTGGCGTCTTCAGGGAACAGATATGTGGGGGTCAGATCCGTACCGCCACCGAACCACCAGTTCTTGTCGCCATTTATGGGGTCCTTAGGATCCGATGTCTCGAAGTATCGATAGTTCAAGTGAACGGTCGGGGCCATGGGGTTATGAGGGTGCAAGACAAGAGACAGGCCGGCTGCGAAGAAGCTCAAAGAATCGACGTCGGCACCGACGAAGGACTTGTGGTCTGCCCGCATCTTCTCAATGGCTGGACGGGGTAATTCACCATAGACAATGGATACGTTCACACCGGCTTTCTCGAAGACATTCCCATCCTGAAGGACGCAAGATATCCCACCACCTCCATTGGGGCGCGTCCAGGTGTCGGTTTTGAATTGCGTCCCGTCTATCCTGCTCAACTCTTCAATGATCTTCTGCTGGTGTTCTTTAATGAGCTTCTCCATACGCAGGCGCATGGGAGATTGTTCGCTGATTGTAGCTTGCTTCTTGAGGGTCTCATCCAGCTCGACGAGCGATGGGGAGTCGAGTTCGGTCACCTCTTCCGTCATCTGCATTGAAGTGGGTTAGAAAAAGGTGTCCACCAGGATGGGTGCATATCTACCATGGAATACACCAAAGCAGCGATGAATGGCACACCAATGGCCAGCCGTAGGTATGGTCTCCAGACAGTGAATGGCTTTGGTTCGGGAGGTGTTCGCTCCGAAGAGTATCTGCGGAATGGCCCAGCGATAGTACGAGGTGCGCGACAGGTTCGAGGTGAGAATTGACAGAGCGACCTCCGAAGAGGCATATATGGCCGGGGAAACGCCATTGTCGGAGCGCAATTGAATTGGCTGATCGGCCGGAAGATCAGGTGGTGCCAGATAATGTACCTAACTGTACGAAGTATTGTGAGACTCAACCGGTACTTGCTCCCTCCAAGCTCCACCTATGATTTCGGGGCCAGTAGTGAGTAGGTGTTGGGTAGGTAATTGGTGAATTGATCAAGTCATCGGCTGGCTCCGAAAGTGAAACCATATGGGACCACCTGCGGCCTCGATCTTCCCGAATGTCGTGAGGATATGATACTGGTTTGTGCTGTTTGGAAGGATTGCTTGGTTTGTCTGGTCCCGCCCCGCCTAGCTTGGCGGGAGATAAGTTGTTTGCTTGGTTTGCAGTATTGCCCACCACGCTGGGGCCTGAACACCCAGGCAGCAGTCCAATATCAAGCAGAATCATCCAGGAGATCAGAATGAGTCAGGGGCCAGTACTACTACTACTCCAAAGTAGTTAATGAGAACTACTCAGCACATAGTAAGTGATCTAAAGCCATCGACAGGGGATTTAAATGGGGGAAACCAGATAAATGGTACCTTGCAGTGGCATAACCATCTACAAAGTAAAATGGTCAACCCCATAATCTAGACGCTGATCCTAAGTGGAGGCTGGAGGCGAAGCACCCGAGCTACCTATCTACCACCCAGTCACTCAGTACCGTGTACGATGCACTGATCAATGGCAAATGGAGGGCGGGTATCATCCGACTCTGGTCACTTGGATGAAGCACCACGTCCACGTGCCAGGATGACGACCTGGAAACATCCTGATCGACCGGCCTCCTTATCTGGTGAATGATCGAATCTGCTTTGACCAGACCCAGCACATGACCCAGCCTGACTCACGTGTGGGGCCGCTCACCGCCTCCACCCCGTGATCCACGCCTGCCCGGCGGCCTTATCAGCCGTGGAAGCCGTTCCTCACCAAATGACGCGGGGCTGTCGCCTTCACTCCCTCAGACTACCGACCTGTCTACCTTTTTGTCATCATCCCTCGATCTCTTCATCCATCCGTCATCCATCCCACTCCTTATCCATCGTCTCTCGGCTTCTATCTGACTCTATCACTCTTCCCCACTTCTTCGCACCCCAATCCGTATCCCCCTTTAAGGGATCCATCCGAGACGACCTACTAGCCGCCCTCAGCCATCTATCAATATGCGTTCCAAGTTCAAGGACGAGCACCCCTTCGAGAAGCGCAAGGCTGAAGCCGAGCGTATCCGCCAGAAATATGCCGATCGCATTCCGGTACGCTTGCCTTGGGTCATCTTCCTACAGTGATCTGGTCTACGGTGTTTATAGGAGGGACCGGATCCGTGGCTCACCGCTTGTTCGAGTTGCTAATCCAGTTTCTGTTTTCCAGGTAATCTGCGAAAAGGTTGAGAAATCGGACATCGCGACCATCGACAAGAAGAAGTACCTTGTCCCTGCCGATTTGACGGTTGGGCAGTTCGTCTACGTCATCCGTAAGCGGATCAAGCTGTCACCCGAGAAGGCGATCTTCATCTTTGTCGACGAAGTGCTGCCACCGACGGCTGCTCTCATGAGCAGTATCTACGAAGAGCACAAGGATGAAGATGGCTTCTTGTATATCACGTATGCCGATCCCTCCGTCCCTCCTGGGTCATATCCGCGCGCATGAGACTAATGTGGTACTCCTATCAGGTACTCCGGCGAGAACACTTTTGGTGACTGCTAGGCGCTGGTCGATCTCTCCTTTCCGATATCCTGATCTCTGAAGTGAATCCGTTGCCGTCGGCATTCAGTCGCTTAAGATTCATATGGTTCCTTTTGGGAATTAGGTATTGACTCCCTGGATGTGGATTCGGTCACTATCGGACAGGAGTAGATGGCGAGCTCTACCATGCTTTGATATTTCTATGCTGTGCTGTACGCGGGCGTTATCTTGGGGCTCTTTCATTTTTTTCGTGAACTTCTTTTTTCTTGGCGAAATGACTATTCTTGTTCAGATGGTAGTTTAAATGACAACAATCGTTGACAATCAACCTGAAATTTGTGACCTGGAGTTGTTCATTTGATCTACTTCTTTCTAAAAGAAGAAAAAAGGCAAATGGGAAAAGCAAAGCCGGATGGTAAATCCTGGGTCTGGTAGGGGAGCTGGGATTGATAGAGTGGCTAGATAGAGGTACCTATGCAGGGCCGGGGGGGCCTGGGGGCCTGGGGCAGGTGGCAGGACCGGCAGCTGACCTAAGCAGGGCCGCTCCGATCCAGGGCCGGTGGTGCCAAGCCCAAAGGGGCCTAGTGGCGCAGAAGCCCCGGCCGCAACGCTTGGAGCGGTTCCGAGTCGGCGCAGAAAGTCCATGGCAGTTGATCGCTCTCGCTCTTCTTGCTCTTCTTCCTCTTCCTCCCTGTGCGTCTGCTCCTTCTCTCTTCCTGCATTGTCTGGCCCCGGTTCTGGTTCCGTGTCATTTTTTGGTCGCGAGTCCATCCTATAAGTCTTCACGTCCTCCTCTTTCACTCTGCTTCTTGTTTATCTCCCCGAAAGCAAAGCAGCCCCAGGCCCGGAAAATTTTATACACTCCATTTCTGCCCCGAAGACGCCCAACCCAGCCCAATCCCCTAAAACAACATGTCTCCCGCTATGGCCCAAGCCGGTGCCGGCTCTGCCTCCAAGGATGTCAAGAGAGAATCTGCAACTGCCCGTCTTCTGGGTTCCGGTATGTGACTATACCCTTGTACAACGGTTGTGGGCTGCGATCAATGGCTAACTTGGCCCTTCAGGATCGGCCGGAATTGCGGAGCTGATGATTTTCCACCCTGTACGAAACCTCTCACGGCTATTGCGCACCGATTGCTATCTGCTGGCGGAGTGGGAAAATGGCTGACTCAATAACCAGGTTGATACCATCTCCAAGCGGTTGATGAGCAACCAGTCCCGGGTACGACGATACCTTCCATATCACTCTATGAAATTTTCGTATGTGCTTTGGGCTAATTGTGCGCTGGCGTAGATCACCTCCACTGCTGGCCTGAACCAGGTTGTCTTCAAGGAGTACGCCACCGCTTCCTTCGGCACCAAGTTCACCTCTCTCTTCCCCGGTCTGGGTTACGCCGCTGGTTACAAGGTTCTTCAGCGTATCTACAAGTACGGTGGTCAGCCCTTCGCCCGTGACTACCTGGCCAAGCACTACGGTACCGACTTTGACAACGCATTCGGCAAGGGTACCGGCAAGGCCATCATGCACGCCACCGCTGGAAGGTTCGTAATCCAGGTCCCTATATTTGGTGGTTATACTTCGACTAACCAGGTGAAACAGTTTGATCGGTATCGGAGAGGTCGTTCTACTGCCCCTGGACGTTCTCAAGATCAAGCGTCAGACTAACCCCGAGGCTTTCCGCGGCCGTGGTCTGTTCAAGATCATTTCCGATGAGGGCATGGGACTGTACCGTGGTGCTGGCTGGACTGCGGCCCGTAACGCCCCTGGATCTTTCGCTGTATGGACTCCCCTACAACGATGTGCCCAACCGATACTAATCTCAAGAAATAGCTCTTCGGTGGTTCTGCTTTTGCCAAGGAATACATCTACGACCTGAAGGACTACAACTCGGCCACTTGGGGTCAGAACTTCGTTGCCTCGATCTGCGGTGCCAGTGCCTCCCTGATCGTGTCGGCTCCTCTGGATGTGATCAAGACCCGCATCCAGAACCGCAACTTCGAGAACCCCGAGTCCGGCTTCCGCATTCTGTCCAACATGGTCAAGAACGAGGGTGTCACTAGTTTCTTCAAGGGTCTGACGCCCAAGCTCCTGATGACCGGACCCAAGCTCGTTTTCAGCTTCTGGCTGGCTCAGACGTTGATCCCCGCCTTCGGCCAGATCGTATAGATGATGACGATAATTCGATCATAATAGCGAGCGCCTTTTTTTCTTTTCCCCTGTTCGGGATTCTTTTCACATTCTTACTCCATGTTCGATTCCAGGGCTTTTTGGTGCTGTTATAGAGCATTATGTTAGGCCTTCGTGTATTTATGATAGACTCTTTCCCTTCGTCTCTGTTCCGAGTTACGGGTGCAAGATGGTATGTTATTGGATATGAATACAACTCCTCTTAATATGACATGCCTGCCTACATGACGGTAGATGTACTATCGCTGCCTTGCGCATATCTGTCAAACATTCTTTTCCGGAACAATTGCTGTAAGAAAGCTGAAAAGCTCCAGTGGGTATCGGACAATGCTATTGTCCCGGGGTACACACGCAGCCCAGTAAAAATCCGACATACACCACCAGGCATCAATTTAGACATCCTACTGCAGCATCATCTATCGCTGCACCTCGTCCTACCCTGCAGCCCAGATAGTCACCTATCCCTCAGCTAGGTATATCTACCGCGTCACCCAACGATACGTCCAAAGCAGCTTCCCCATTTCTATCACGTGACCCCAATCCGACGCCTCCAGCAGCAACATTAACAACAGCAACATCCAACTCACCTCCCCACCACCACCAACACGGCACCGAAAGCAAGACCACGCCCTGCCCGCCCAAAATGCCCGTCTACCTGATCTCCAAGTACGTCGTACATATATCCCTCATGCACCTCTACCTAGAACCCTTACCTATCTACCTACCTATCTAACCACCCACCTAATCAACCTAATACCCCATCCGATGTCGCACCTTCACGAGCTTTCTAATTATACTAAACAATCAACCCACATACTAATCGCACGAATTAAAATCCTTAGACTCGCAGACCCCCTCTTCGCCCTATCCATCGGCACCTTGGCCGCCCTCCTTCGGATCCAAAGAGACCAGCGCGAGAAGTTCCCCGACCGAGCAAACGAAATCAGTATCGGGAGTGTGGTGACCATGGGCACGAGTCGGGTGCGGAGATGGTGGGCGGGGGATTTCGAGGGGTTGTGAAATGAGAAATCAATTGACTGGGGTTTCGAAAGATAAGGGCGTGTGTGTGTGTGTGTGTGTGTGTGTGTGTGTGTGTATATGTGTATGTGTATGAGATGTATGCTTCGTTGAGTGGGTGGGGGAGTGTATGCTATGTTATGGATGATAGATGGGATTCATGGGATCAGGGCGTTTAGGGGCATATCTATGGGTGCATTCATTGTATGTATTATTTTATAATGATAGATGATGATATTGGGGCTCGGAAAGATTTTATATCTATCTATCTGTTCACTTGCGGTGGGCTGGATACAACTTATATGGATTCAGTTGTCAGAGGACGGAATTTGAAGCTCGCAAGGAGTCTTCATTGCCGGTCAAGCTGGACCTAAACAGAAGTTCTAAAGTCTTGACTTTATGAGACCGACTTAGCTTTATTAAGACTACTTCAAAAGACTACTCTGTACTACTATTTGTATTACGACTGGAAGCAACAATAGTAAGAAGTGTTGTATTCGTCGAAAGGAACTTTTCCCTCCCAGATTCTGCAGCGAAAACCATCATGCAGCACAACTAAAAATCGAATCTATGCATCATGCACAAAGAAAAGGATCCCATAATTTCGTTAAAAAAGAGGACAATAAATTAAAAAGAAGCAAAACCCATTAGGGCCACTCGCCTATCCGCAAACGGCTGGAGGTATATTGAAGAAAGCAAATAGAGACTGGTGCTTAACACATTTAGTCAAGCTCCTCAGGGCGCTCCTCAACCTCGTCAGCAGTGCGGGTAGCACCGGGGGCGGCACCGCCAGGGGCGGCACCAGCAGCGCCACCGTAGGCAGCGGAGATGATGGGGTTGGCAACAGACTCGAGCTCCTTCTGCTGGGACTCGTACTCGTCCTTCTCGGCGGTCTGGTTGCTGTCGAGCCAGCTGATGATCTCGTCAACCTTGGCGGTGACCTTCTCCTTGTCCGCATCGCTGATGGTGAGCTTGCCCTCGTTGATGGTGTTCTTGAGGGAGTAAGCGTAGGACTCGAGACCGTTCTTGGCCTGGATACGGGAAGCCTCGGCCTCATCCTCAGCCTTGAACTTCTCGGCCTCGGAAAGCATGCGCTCGATGTCCTCCTTGGAGAGACGGCCCTTGTCGTTGGTGATGGTGATCTTGTTGGTCTTGCCAGTACCCTTCTCGATGGCGGAAACGTTCATGATTCCGTTGGCATCAAGGTCGAAGGTGACCTCAATCTGGGGAACACCACGAGGGGCAGGGGGGATGCCAGTAAGCTCGAACTTGCCGAGCAGGTTGTTGTCCTTGGTACGGGCACGCTCACCCTCGTAGACCTGGATCAGGACACCGGGCTGGTTGTCGGAGTAGGTGGAGAAGGTCTCGGACTTCTTGGTGGGGATGGTGGTGTTACGCTTGATGAGAGCAGTCATGACACCACCAGCAGTCTCGATACCCAGGGAAAGAGGGGCAACATCGAGCAGGAGGATCTCGTTGGTGGACTTGGAAGAAGTGTCACCGGACAGGATGGCAGCCTGGACGGCAGCACCGTAGGCAACAGCCTCATCGGGGTTGATGGACTTGTTGGCGTCCTTGTTGAAGAAGTCGGAGACGAGACGCTGGATCTTGGGGATACGGGTGGAACCACCGACCAGGACGATCTCGTGGACGGAGGACTTGTCGATCTTGGCGTCACGGAGGACACGCTCAACGGGCTCCATGGTGGAGCGGAAGAGGTCCTGGCAGAGCTCCTCGAAACGAGCACGGGTGATGGAGGTGTAGAAGTCAACACCCTCGAAGAGAGAGTCGATCTCGATGGAGGTCTGAGCAGCAGAGGACAGGGTACGCTTGGCACGCTCGCAAGCAGTGCGGAGACGACGGAGAGCACGAGCGTTGGAGGTCAGGTCCTTCTTGTGCTTGCGCTTGAACTCGTTGACGAAGTGGTTGACGAGGCGGTTGTCGAAGTCCTCACCACCCAAGTGGGTGTCACCAGCGGTGGCCTTGACCTCGAAGATACCCTCCTCGATGGTCAGGAGAGACACATCGAAGGTACCACCACCAAGATCGAAGATGAGGACGTTGCGCTCACCCTCGGTCTTCTTGTCCAGACCGTAAGCAATAGCAGCGGCAGTGGGCTCGTTGATGATACGGAGAACGTTCAGGCCGGCAATGAGACCAGCATCCTTGGTGGCCTGACGCTGGGAGTCGTTGAAGTAGGCGGGGACAGTGATAACAGCGTTGTTGACGGTGCCACCGAGGTAAGACTCGGCGGTCTCACGCATCTTGGTAAGGATCATGGCAGAGACCTCCTCGGGGGTGAACTGCTTGGTCTCACCCTTGAACTCAACCTCGATGATGGGCTTGCCACCCTTGTCGGCAATCTTGAAGGGCCAGTGCTTCATGTCCGACTGGACCTCAGCGTCGGCAAAACGACGACCGATCAGACGCTTGGCATCGAAGACGGTGTTGTGGGGGTTCATGGCGACCTGGTTCTTGGCGGCATCACCGATCAAACGCTCCGAGTCGGTGAAAGCCACGAAAGAGGGAGTGGTGCGGTTACCCTGGTCGTTGGCGATGATCTCAATGCGGTCATCACGGAAGATACCCACACAGGAGTAGGTGGTTCCCAAATCGATACCAACAGCGGGGGCCATGATGAATGTGATGTGAAGAGATCGTTAAGGAATAGGAAAGAAAGAGATTCGTCACGGATTGGAGGGAGGTAGTGGTACAGCGAGGTAGTGTGTAGATTAAGATGAGAGAGATAGAGAAAGAGAAGGGGGTATAAGAGGAAGCAGTGGATGAGAGTGAGGAGAGAAGAGAATTGATGAAGTAGGAATTTGTGCGAGACCGAACGTTGATATAGTGGCGGGCGGTGAGGCGCTGCTCCAGCGAAGCTTCTAGCAAGAGTGCGCTTCGATGGGCATCCATCGGGTTCGACCCTCTTCCACCCGCGCCCCAGCTACCCCTCGACCGTTCGAGAAATCCCTCCCTACGTTCTGGGCCTTACCGCGGAGGGGGCCTGCGAAGGCTCTGGCAGCCTCTCGGGAGGTCCATCTCCTATCTACGATCGAGTCTCTACTAGCATCGCTCTGCTACGATCGGCTCCTGCAGCAGTTCTGGCGAGAGAGCCTCGAGGTTCCGCGGCGGTTGGCGGGGTAATGCCGATGACGTAATGGGCAGAATCCGCTGTGAATTTTTCACGCCCCGTAATTCTGCCTTCGACTGGGTCTTTCCACCCCCCAATAATAATGACTCACAGGACAATAATAATGAAAGGCGCAACACATTCTTTTTCTTCCCAGTAGTAGGTAGACAGTGACTTCACTCAATGCTTGCTCGTCTTTCCCGGTCTGGTCAGTCGTCAGGCCTTTGCACCCGTGGAATTGGGCAGAATGGAGTCCGTCATCATGACGCTGGCTACGGAATCCCACTGCTCTCGCTGGGCTTCGGAGAATTTCCATGGAGATTCTGGCCCTTCCAGCCCTTCCCCCGGTCACATGACTGACTGGCTTTCTCTCTTCACTCCAGCTCGGGCTCGGGCTCAGGCATTCCTGCCCTGCTGTAACGGTGTGAGTTGTGACACCGGAAGCAAGCTCCAGGGGTTATCTATTGCTTTAAGAGAGCATCCTCCTTTCAGGCTACCGACCCCCCTCCCCCAACTTGTAGCTGTACACAATCTTCAATCGATAGGGTTCCAGAGTAAGTCGGATACTAGGTCACATGTCCTTCCACATCAATTGACTGTAGAGTCCAACCGCCGCTGCAATTTATACAGCTTCTTTTTACTACTCTACTCCATCTCCACTGTGCTAACCCCTCAAAGAGATGGGTCGAGATTCCAGATCCCAACTGGTACCTATCTGTCTAGTATCTAATGTTTGTTATGAGCCTCCTAACAGGGCAAGCCCCGTCACGGGAGCTGCAGCAGATCGCCGCTCCCAGCAACCAATCAGTGGCCAGGAATCCGTCGAGGTGAATCTCCCCTTGCGACAGGAACTTGCTTTATCCTCGGTGCCTTGACAACACCTACTTAAACTCAGTACTTCCTGCGTCCCCCTGAGTTAGCATCCCTTTTTCTTGTGAACTTTTCCCCTGGGATCTCTGTCTACTCGATTGTTCTGTGTTTGCTCCCTTCAGTCCCAACTCGCCTTCGAAAACACCTCCGTACACACTCTTCGCCATGGGTGACAACAACCAAGCTACTACGGGCTACAACCCTGGATCCAATGCCTCCGACGCCGCTGCTTGGGGCAAGGGCAAGGGAAAGGCGACCGACCCTGCTCGGGAAATGCGCATGGATGACGATGAGAGTGATGAGAGCGAGGGCGAAGAAATGGTGAGTCCTGCTGTAAACTGGCCAACCCGAGGAAGAATGTCTGGCTGACTGAAAACCTCCCCTTGCGACTCTGCAGCTCGATGAAGGTATGATACTACCACCTACTGTCCTACTTTTGGACACCGGTCTTTCCCACACTCGCTTGAATCATGCTAACCCCGTGACTTGGCTAGCAGATGAAGATGAGGACAACGACAACCTGGAGCCCATCTCCGCCGACAACATCATTTCCGGTGGCCGTCGTACGCGTGGCAAGAACATCGACTTCCAAGAAGCTGCCGAGAAATTGAAGGCCGATGAAATGGACGATGAGGACGATGAGGACGACGACTACGTCGGGGCTGCTGATGAAGATGATGAGAACAAGATGCGCGACTAGAATCGGATCCAGTAACGATACCAACACAACATAGGGGCGGCGAGCGCGAATAAGAAATGGGATGGCAGGCGCAGGGTCTTTTTGAGGGTTTCTTCGGTTTCATTTACGCGGGTTACACTTTCCATCTTCTACCCATCTCATGATGTTGACATTCCTGGATTGATATGGATACGGGTCATTACTATGATTGCCTGTGTGTCCGCCTCCAGAGTTGTCCATTTCTCTGGATTGCTTGGCCAGGTTCGGCTGCGACAATCGCCTCGCTATTGGGTTTGAATGAGCGACCACCACGCCCCCAAGGAGCAAAAGGGGGTGTGCAAGGGGTCTATCTGCAATAGGTCAGCCAATCCATCAAAAGAAGCCCATATACAATATGAATCGACGGTTTCCTGAGCGACGTAGTGTAGCTTGTAGTTCTAAACTGCCGATCACGTGGGCGGTCTCATGGCGGCCCGGGTGGATTCGAATCAACATTATTCAGTCTCTCCAAGTCTCTCTCTCCCGCTGTGATGGTCTCCATGAGGGCCTGCTCGCTCTGCTCTGCTCTGCTCTGTTCTGCTCTGCTCTGCTCTGCTCTGCTCACCCATCCTCTTTCCCTCTTCTCCCCCTATTATCTAGGCCCTCGCTGGGCGACATGTGCCCCAACTACTGGTGATTGCTTCTTCTTATCTTTCATATCCGGTTTATCTCGTCCCGTACAATAATAATTTTGACGACCTGTTATGGCTTCACGGTATGTTTATGCCATCCGTCCTCCGCCACTATTGCCAGCCTATACTAATCGCCGGCCGGTAGATTCCCACGCTCCAACCTACACCAGCGCGACCCTCGTGCTTCTTCGTCCCTCTTCGACTCATACGGTGGCAATTCCCGTCCCGCCAGTAGATCCCCGGGCAGCATAGGTGGATACGGGTATGGAGGTTACACGCCCCCGGCCGGAGACGGCCCCGTGAATGGCACCGCAAAGGGCGGATATCGGGCTGCGACCCCGAACGCCAAGTAAGTGGCTCCCACAGCTGGAGGATGTCAATGGCTACGACTTCTCCCGTGCAAGAAGCTCACAGTTGGGGTTTATAGAGGCCATTATTCCGATGCTGTTCTCTCCCATCTGGAGTCTCAGAATGACACCGAGGTCGAAGGTATCAGTGCCAAGGTCAAGATGCTGAAGGATGTAAGTGCTCCGGATTGCCTAGCGTGGGTCCACTCATCGTGCTGACATTGTCATACCAGCTCACGATCGCAATCGGCGACGAGATCCGAGATACTTCAACCATCTCGGACCTCAACAACACTTTTGAGAACACCCGCGTGCGTCTCCGCGGAAACATGAACCGCATGCTGCGGATGGCGGAGCGCACTGGCGTTGGCTGGAAAGTGTGGCTCGCTTTCTTCTTCGCCGTCTTTCTGCTATTCTTCTACGTGTGGCTGACATGATGGACGATACATGCTCCGAAAATCAAAGCATGATATCTTGAGCTGTTTTCATTTATCACGACGTTTTTGGAGGTACCCTGCCCCCATTTATGTAGCTTTATACACGGCGCGCTTGCACGCACCCGCTCCGCAGTCTATCCTTCCCGCCTTAATTATACAGCTGCTTCCGGGTCGTGCGAGTTGTGAATACCCGCGCTTCTTCGACATTGTTTGCATATTATTCTGCACATGAGTGGCCTGCCTATACGAGCACTTGTTCCTTACTCGCAAGTGCCAGTCTGTCTTTCTTGTCATCAGGTTCCTTCTTTACGCGTTCCCCGATGATAGTGCATGCTTGGAGTTTGGGCTCTGCGATTCATAATTGTGCGATCCGATCGCCAGATGGGGGACGTCATCTGCTTCTGTTTTGTACAATGAGATGTACATTATAATGTTCTCATACCCATGTTATTACATATGAGTGAGATTTCCCTGCAATCTATTCATCGCTTGCGACCATGCACCAATTATATTGAGGTTATCTAGTACAGCGTAAAATCATGGAGCGGTATCTAATGACTTGCGGCAGCGTACTTGATCCATCCACACCTGGTTAGCAGGCATGCATAGCATCTGCGCCGATGTGGTTTAATGATGCGTAGTATCTAAGGATACTAAGTCTATCTGATGTGAATTCCAATTAACCAGGTTGAGACTTCTATCCACCCTAACTCCAGCCCTCAATGTTGCGCATCTATGATTCCACCCATTCGCCATATGTCAAGGGCTCCATAGCTATACACCCGTAGAATATAATACAAGGATAAACAGGGATATCTCATGAGGGAACCCCACGAAGATGTGATCAGTCGAAACTGTCCCTTGGGCCTCCCGTGCGACGCCTTGGGAACCGGCTAAAGAAACTGCGTCGACTTCCCTGACTGGTCAAAGAAGCACGGAGATCCTCCTCGTCAACAAGCATGCTGCTAGTGTCAAAGGCATCGCCGCCACCACTCCAACGCTGCAGGAACCGTCGTTGGGCCTCCGTTTCTCTCTCCCGTCGAACAAGAGGCGGGGGCAGGCCCCGACTGCTAGTTGTACTGGCGCGAAGACTCTGGGTAAATGGGTCATGTGAGAAACTGACGTCCTCTTCGTCGTCAAATTCGGCATCGGTGTCTGTGTGTTGCCATTCCTCTTCCTGTTCAGACCGGTCTTCAGCTGCCTCAGGAATATCATCATCCAAGTTCCGACCCATGTCTTCCTCTCCACTCATGCCTTCATCCCCATACTCCTCTTCAACCGCGCTAGGGATGTCATCATCCAGGTCTGGTTGATTGTTGAACTCGTCATTCTCTTCCTCCAGATCTTCCTCGTCGAGGTCGTCATCGTCCGCAAACGCCTCCGGGATGTCGTCGTCTAAATCTCGTTCCATGTACTCCCCCTCATCCACAACATCATCCTCTTCCAGACCTTCCTCGCCTTCTTCGACCAGCCCATCTTCATCCGCATCCGGAATATCGTCGTCCAAGTCTCTCTCCATGTCTGTATCATCTTGTCCTTCACCGTCTATCGTACCCTGTGTCTGACCCCCGAGCTCATCCAGCCCGTCGATACCTGCGTCCGCCGCTGCTGCCGCTGCTGCCCTCTCCGCAGCGGCGGCAGCCAGTGCCTCCTCTCTTTCCGCCTCCTCCTCTTTCATACCCAGCATGGTCTTGGGACACCCGGCTGGCCTTATCCATGAGTATCCGAACGAGGCGATATTGTTCTTGCGCGCACGCAGAGCGCGCTCTTCTAAGAGTAGGGACGATAGCATGTTTCCTGAGATGGCGGACGATCCGCGTCCATTTGGCGTATTGGTGCCATTGCGACGGGCCCCTCCTTGTGTGTCTGCGGCGGATGAGAATGAGTGGTGTTGTGACGAGGAGCGGTAGGGTTGTGAAGAGCCAAACCAGAGCTCGTGAGACTAGATGCGATCTTTATTAGCTATGGCTGCAACTCAATTACGGGTTCATGAAAGTCGATGGCACGTACGTCGCGGGGTGTGATCAGTGGAAGGGAGAGCATTGTGACCGGTAGTAATAACGTGCGCCGACCCGAGAGCTGGGGAGGGAATCGATCAAATCAGTCTCACCCGCGGCCTCCAAAACATACGCAGCTCGGGGTGTTGGGGAGGCGTGAGAATTGGAGAAGAATCGGAGGCGAGAGGAGACCCAAAACAAAAGCAGACAAGCTCCCGCGCGGGGATCTCCAGGCTTACCGGATCGGGCAGGATGTGTGTCGCCGCTGCCTTCCTGGGGTCTGGAGGGACTCAGGGAGGGTCCCCGCGTTACACCCATCTTGTCGAGAAATCGTAGATGAACTACTAGTAGTACGTACTAGGTGGATAGATGGTGGCTTTTAGTTCCCGGTCGTTTGGCTCACAAAGAGAAAAGTGGTCACATTGGTTAGTGTGGTCCGTGTGTTGGGAAACAAATATATATACTACTTATCTCGCGACACCGGTTTACATGGATTACTTACTAGTTACTATACAACTGTCACTTTAGCATGATGTATGGTAATGAGCAGCTACACAGCATGTAGTACTAGTAGTACGATGCTCTGAGAAACTCATTCCCCAGTCGTGCGTATACGTCGCCCCGGGTTCAATGACAGGGCAGTGGTGGAATATACCTGAATATAATATACTATGGACTTATCCCATGGACCACCTACCTTGTGCCCATAAAGGCATTATTTTACAATTACGACAAATATGAGGCAACTCATCAGCTTGGCCTTGTGTGAGGCACATCTCTTGTCTGATAAAATAGGACTACCCGGAGCGATAGCTTGCCCTCCAGCTAATCATATCTACAACCCCACGGACATGATCCCGTCACCAGAGCACACGGGGGTCAAGGAGGAAAACAAAGAGAATATAAACCATGATTAAACAGAACACACTTATGGTGACCAATTGATACCCATCCATTCTGGCACTCTGCAGGCTGCAGCAGAGAAGAAGAGAATCTGTACGGAGTACTCGGTAAGCAAGGCGAGAGCTCTGAAATGATCGTTCTGCCCGCTCAAATCCGTCCCACCAATCGGGCCAGGGCAATGGCAATTCAGCAAGTCTCTGCATGTACCTCTGCATGTATCTCCGCATCGAGGCCAGCATCAGCCCACAGTGAGCATCCGGGGCCTCCGTAGCCCGGCACAACTGCACAGTATGAACGGTAGATGCACAAAGAATCACCAGCAGCACGAGAGTAACCAGCTGTACTAAGTACAAAGCACAGCAAAACTTAAGGATCAGGCCATGGACGGACTAGTACTTTGCTCCACCAAGTCCACGGGCACGGGTGTTGATCTGAGATGCTTGCCAATATCTTCTGCGGTAATGCAGCGTCATTCTGGGGGATGAAGGCTGTGGCAGTACAGAGTAGCAGCAGCACATAGCCAGGTTGTCCAGTCAGAGGAAGACAAATCACCTAGCCTGTAGTTCCTCTGCAGTAATTAATCAGTACTGCGGACTAGGCGGGCAGCACAAGGCAAACCACCTGGTCCCTTACCCGGCTTTCCTGCTGTCTTGCTCAGTGTTGGGCTTGTCCGGTTTTCGGCCGCTTCCGTTCCTGATCCCGGAAACGCCCGAGGCGTTGCAATCTCCCGCTTCATCGTCAAGGTCACATTCGGTGAGCCCAAAGCGGACAAGCCTAAGTAGGAAGGATCGGAATAAAACGGACGCCGGAAACATTGGCATCTCCGCTCAGTCATGTGATGTCCGTCGCATCCAAACGGATTCATGCAGTAGTCTGCGAACTGCCTGCAAGAGGCTGACGAGAAGATGGGGATGGGAGGTGTACGGGAGTAAATCGGAGGGTAACACGGCAGCTTGTCGCGCGATCCTCGCAATCATTCCATAGCTCTGAGTCATTCCATCTCTCTCGCGTCCAAACCTTCTACCTAGATAGTTCTGGGTGGTAAGGTCCAATAATTAGCAAGGCGCCATAATCCCCCTTAGTGTTGTTGTTTGGCCATAGGGATTAGGGACAAAGTAACCCAGAAGACGGTCAAGCCCGTTCGGACTTCGCAGATCGGCCGAGAGTTTCGATCATTCATATGCAAAGTGAAGGCGACGGGATGGGACGACCGTGGCAGTCGCCTTAAGCAAGTCCATCCCGGGGAGCAGCAGCCTGAAGCCGTGAACCCAACTCTCCAATCGGGCCACAACTCACGCTCATGCGAACTGTCGGACTCTTAGCCCCGACAAGTGTTCCGGTGCACGGCAATGATGATTATTAAGGAATCTTGGAGGGGGTGTCCGTGGCGTGGTGGGATCCATTGATCTGTCAACCAGTGGTAGGTGAACACAACACCGTCCAGGCAACCTGGGGAGGGAGATTGGAAATCAATTGATTTATGTATTACCATTATCATAAGATTATTTTGAGTAAGCTCTTATCGGGCCAGGGTTCCAACTGCCAGCATCAGCATCCTGTGATTCCGAGGGTGGTCGATACTCGACTAGCAGTAGATAGATGACTGATGAAAGGATGGGCGCGTCCGTAATTATGGGCACAATCCATACCGCTCGTATTTCCGGGGGTGTTGGTGCCAGTGATTTTTCGTGCATGCCCATTGGTCGGGGCCAATCAACGGCTAAGTAGTAGGTACCGTGACGGTCCTTCTCCGTCCGGCCAGTCCTGCCCGGAGTGACATCCATGGGAATCATTCTACGGGGTGTGGGTTTTCCCCAGAAAAAGTGCCTTGAACCCTCTTAATTACGTTCAGTGGAAGGTTTTAAGAAACTACGGATGGGAAATCTAGATGGACGGCCAGAATGAACGGCGTCGAGTAAGAATGTCGCTATTTGAAGGGAGTGTCTGATAAGCGGTTTGATGACCTCAAGAAATGAGCTGGAGAAACTCCAACGGACCTAATCCACAGGCATTCTTGGAACGCAAGGTGCGTCGCGGAAGCCCCGAAGTCGGCGGGGCAGGACGGGAAACCTAATACTAGGCAGCTGCTAGGTATCCGGTAAAGTCACGGGTGGGTGTAAAAGAGAGGGGAGTGTACAGAGGGAACGTGGCTCGGAGAGGGGTTGGGGATTTTTTGGGAGGAAAGGAGAGGGGGGTGAAGAGGGGGGAGGGAGGAGGGATTCCGGGACGGAAAGGGAAAGGCGTCCAGCTTGGCCGTTGTCGGACTGGTTGTTCGCCTGGGCGGACAGCAGCCTGCATACTGAGATGAGTGAGTGGTACCGCTCCGTGCCAGTAAATTACCCACCTCGAACTTCCCCAAAAATACATATACCGGTCCCGACCGCGTATGCGCTTGTAGCGGCCAAACTTACCAACGTACCACCGATCGCCCGACAACCTGCAACTGAGCGTGGGGTATGCAGTTTGAGGTCTCATAGGATGGAGGGAAGCGTGTACTTTGTTAGGGCCCTCGGTCCTGCGACGACAGACGAGGTCATCTATTGCCCAAAGTCCTTCGGTTGCAGGCCGCGTGTGCAGATTAATATTCTACCCGGCAGAACTCTTATTGTTTGCGATGGGCCACTCCAGGACTTACTTAGTATTACTTAGGTGCAGATATGCACGATACACCCAACACCTATTTACTCGGAAGAGCCAGTCGTCTGCATATTGCACCTTACGACTCCGTATTCCCTGTAGCGACGGTTTACCGCGCAGGGTATACACCTCCCGTCAGTCACTCGCGGGCCGTGGACTTAGTGAGGGTATACTGACACACACCGGAGTAGCCACCCACTCGACAATTACTATGACTACAAAAGTTCACCTTCTTGGATGATCCTGCTTTTCTCTTATACATAGAAATCATGGGCTTGGCAATCCAGGCTCCTTACCGTTCCGATGTAACTCGCAGTGCCTGCCAAGCAATTTTGGGGTAAGAAGGCGATTGCTTTTCCAGTCCTGCCCTTCCGGATTCGTGCCCTCACTCGGGTCTCCCAGGCTGCTTCATGGGGATGACTTACCATGTGCAGCGCATCTCAGCAGTCAGCACAGGCCGACCAACTGATTGGGACGGACTCGGGGATAAGCACTGTATCCCTGCGCTGCCCCACATGTACAACGCCCAATCATCCATCCAGCCGGGCCCTAATCCACTTTGCTGAACAGTGGGAAGGAAAAGGAACCTTGAGTCGTGTAGGGTCACCTTGGAGCACACCCTATGGTGTACCATAGATGGATCAGTTTATACCTGAGGTACCTAAGTTGTGGCATACCGGATGCTCCAAATAGGCAAGTATCTTTCGTTGTTCTCCCTGTCGTATCTACCACCTACCTACATTGCACATACTTGCCAGAGCCATGGCACTCCCTGAATTTAATGAAGCACGCTCAATGGGTTCCCTAATCGTCTCGCTCAGCAAGGACCATGTGCAAACTACACAAAGTACATGGCAGTGTGGAAGGCATAGGACAATCAAAATCCACACAAGTATTCGTAAAGGTATGGGTAGCTTTCCTGCTTTTGGCCAAAGGATGATGATCCCCAGTCTCATGAGACTGGACTAAAATAGGCCACCCAAGCATGGTCTCCAATTATTGACACTGAAGATAGGTGCCGGACTGACCATGTCATGGTTGATCCAACCTCCAAAAGATGTGGGTAGCCCCCAAGTGAGGTTGGGTTGACTTTCACCCGACTGTCGCCCTTGTTCACCCGATGAGTTGATTCGTATGTGTGCAGAGTACAGTCGTGACTGGATCTGAGTGCGGCGGGAAAAGCGTGTTTCGTCCACTCCGAGGCAGTGCATTAATATGGAACTATTGCCATGCGGCAGTCTCAGCGGCCAGCCCCCCAATTGGATTACCGCTGCATTTGGAGACCATTTGTTGTTCCCGTACTCCGTAAGTATGGAGGGAACGAACGGGACAGCTATTACCGCTCGATACGGGTCAGGGTACTACCGAGTGTACCGAGTGGTCTCCCACTAGCGCCGTCAGCGGACAACCTTTTCTGTTTCCCTTTTCCTTCTTTTTGGCCGGGGCCCCACCGGCCTGGATCTTGACGTAGCCAAAACCTAATCTTTCTGCGGAAGGTTGTAAAGCCATGCCGCTGATTGGTGGACGCTGCCTTATCTCCTTCCCTAAAACAAATCCCCGTCTGGAGTGCAGTACTGTGGTAATCACTACTCCTACTACTAGATAGATACATGCCTCCCTCGAGCCACTCCAGCCACTACCATTATGATCTGGTGGAAAGGCTTTCTTCTCTTAGACAAGTCAGA